GATCAGGTCTGTGCACCAGATTGAAGCATTTTACTTGTGTTCAAAAATGTATTCCCGGGGGGGCCAGCTAAAATCTCGCCTCGGGCAGCAAATTGGTTAGAACCGGCCCTGATGGTGTAGGAACCGGGCTCCGTGTTACAAGAAGGGTCGGGAGTTTGGCAGTACCGCTGCAGACTCTCCGTGTGTGTGTGTGTGTGTGTGTGTGTGTGTGTGTGTGTGTGTGTGTGTGTGTGTGTGTGTGTGTGCAAAATGGGGTTCTTTAGTTTTAAAGACCCCCATAGAGCTCAGTTTATAACTCGAACCCTGGTTATAGAGTCAAATATGTCAATGTATTATGAGAGATATATACAGAATTGAAGCACTTCAGTGTAATTGTCCATATTCTTGCCCTGCAGTCAGTTAGTCTTTTTTTTAATGAAATGATGAGTCATTTTTTATTTATGGACCCTATAGTACAGGTGAAATGTAAAACTACACATTGCACCTTTAACAGATTTATAGTAGTAGTTTTACATAACTAAAATCTTATCCTGATTGCTATCCTCAGATCCAACCACATCTCCCTTTGTTCTAGACTTCGGCGCCATTTACGATGAACTCAACTTCACATACAACGACTCGGAGTTCACCTTTAACCCCGACACGCAGCCCTGCAAAGCCGACTCCATCCCAAATGCAGCCATGGTTGTCGTCAGCGTGTTTTACATCCTCATCTTCCTGTTGGCCATTCCTGGAAACCTGGTGGTGGGGCTGGTGATCGGCCTGAGCAAGCAGTCGCTGCCCCCCTCTGACATCTACCTCCTCAACCTGGCTGTCGCTGACCTCCTGCTGGCCTTCACCCTCCCGTTCTGGGCTACTTCTGTCACGCAGGGATGGGTGTTCGGAGACGCCATGTGCAAAGTCGTCACCATCGCCCAAGAGCTGAGCTTCTACTCCAGCATCCTCTTCCTGACTTGCATTAGCGTGGACCGCTACATGGTGATCGTGCGAGCCATGGAGGCCCGCAGGGCGAACCGGCAGCTGGTCAGCTGGGGAGTGTGTGCTGCCGTCTGGGCTGTTGGAGCTCTTCTGTCTCTGCCGGGGCTTTTTAATTCCTCCTTCAAATCTCTTAACTCCAGTCGGATGGAATGCTCTGAAAAGTATGATCCCACTAGTGCCGACGAATGGCGTCTGGCCACTAGAATTCTTCGCCACACGTTGGGTTTTTTGATCCCCTTGGCCATCATGCTGCCCTGCTATGGAGTAACCATCAAGCGCCTCCTTCACATCCGTGGAGGGTTTCAGCGGCAGCGAGCCATGAGAGTGATCGTGTCTGTGGTGGTCGTTTTCCTTCTCTGTTGGATGCCGTACCACATCGCAGTGATGGCAGGCACCCTCTCCAGGGCCAAGATAGCGCTGTACCAGTGCTCGGCGAGGATGGCTGTGGACCAGGCCATGTTCGCCACCCAGAGTCTGGGGCTGCTCCACAGCTGTGTCAACCCAGTGCTCTATGCCTTTGTGGGGGAGAAGTTCAGGAAGAGCTTGATGCAGATCTTGAGGAAGATGCATATCCTGGAAAGAACGTCTGTGACCAGAAGCAGCAGGTCTTCAGTGTCTTCAGAACTCACCTCCACATTTATGTGATAAACCCAAAGAGACACTTCGAACTATTTACAGGAAATAATCTTGTCACTGCTGGACAACAAATAACTAGTTTTGATACCTCTCTATTTTTTATTAAAACTCAACATTGGTGGACTTTTGAAACTCAATCACTCAAAAAAAAGGAGATATATATTAATACGTATATTTTGTCATGCTTTGTTATATTCTTTCTTGCATGGACTTTTACCCTATATTTTAAAATATTTTTTCTGTTTTACTTCTTTTTATACATATTTAAATGAGACATCTTTGAGGGAAATGTTGTAAAGCTGTAGACATAAAGAAAATCCCTTTCCTCAGACATGTCTAGTTGTGAGGACATTCTGTCAAGTTTCAATTTTGTAACTAATGCAATGTCTCAACATTAAGACAAATTATCCACATATGAACACCTTTATATGCAGCTGATATCTCTGGAAAAAGGTAGAATTGGACATTGAGTTAAGATACTTTTTTTTAAAATAACATATAAATGTGATATCTCAATCCATTATTCCAGCTAAAAGTGTATTGCATCCATTGCATCAGAAACCTTAAACCATACTGTACAGTACTACGGTGTATATAAATCCATACACATGTTCATGGCAATGTAGAGTTATTTACGTTTTTTGTAATTTCTTTGGTTTAGTAAACTGAAGACAGCAGGCTTTTATTGAGATACCACACAATTTGTAATCCTTGCAAAGTTGCAATCATCATAAAAGTATTTCAAACATACACACTGCTCTCTGTTTCTGAATATTATATAACTCTTTTGAGTCACCTTATATGTCCCAAAGCTGATAAGACGAGTAATGTGTTTAAAAAATATATATTTATAGCCATAGCCAAAGCTGCTAGTTCGGAAAAAGTAGAAGTTGTGGTGAATGCTGAAGCAACACTGAAGCAATCATTTTAAGTCAGAGAAGCAAGATTTGCTGCTCTATATTGGGAAAAAATAATCTTTAAAAAGCACTGATTGGTTACGAAATGATCCCAGGGAAGTTCCGCTGACAGGCACCACTGCTATTTTAAAAGCAGAACAATATTTTTGCAGTAGCCTAGCTTTGGCTAATGCATTTGTTACACATTTAATTAAGGAAACTAAATTTTGCATAGAAATAATTTCAAATGTTCTTCTATTTTTCTATGAAAGATATTGATATTAATAAACATATTCTATGTTATATTACAGGCAATTATTAAAAAATAAATATAGCCTTGCCACCCCAGCTGCCACCCCAGTTGGCAGCTTTGTTTTGAAATAAAAGTTGGGGCTCATCGGACATTGCTGAGAGAAAATCCCTAATGTTCGAGTGCAAGTGAATGCAGCACAAGACGCACGCCTTGTAACCCCTCCCCCGGCCCTAGCGCGAGCGAGGAAATGTGATTAGCGGCGATTTCATTTGAACGGGACGGCGCATTCGGACCCAAGTAGACGGAAGGAATGAGGTATTTACGGTCTACAATGACAGATCAAAACGCACTAAAGCTTTAGATCTTAATACGTTTGTGAAGCTTTTTGCTGAACAAGATGGTAATCGCCGCATTCAGCTGTTATAGGCATACCAACTTGATGCTCTGCTCACGGATGACTCGATGAGCATAAACAACTGTTAAGATGATGACCTTACGTGTGTAAATATATATTTTTCTTTGTGGGGGTCTGCCCCAAAAAACTGTTTTAAGTCCTGAGAAAGTCAAATAAGACGATGTGTAAAACTCATAGACTGTATATATAAATGGATGTAGGGTCCGTGACGTCACCCATAGGATTCTGCAGAGTTGCCGAGAAGCCCTTAATAGGCGGAGTCGGCCACTAACGGCTCGACTGTGACGTCAGAGTTCAACTCCCGCCTTCTCCAGCCTGCTCCAAATAGAGAGCCGCAGTGACGCGTCGTAAAACCCGGAAGTAAGTTAGCATTTTTAGCACTTCCGGTTCCTTCCTCAAAAAGCAATGCATTTTTTCCATAGGGTTTTGGAAAATAGCTCGAAATAAGGTCTGTGGTTGACACAAATTTAAGAGGTAATTGAAGTTTTGTTCTACGACATTAAATACATCAGCAGTGACCCCACTGGGGATTTTTGAAGAGTTTACGTGTCTGAAAAACGATGGTTGTTACCGAGTGGCTGAATAGGACTACAGAAATTGTCGAGACCGTTGTACGTCATTACGCCGAACACGTAAACACTCCCGCTAAGTTTGTTTTCCCCTGTGTTCTGCTTGA